CCTTCAAGGAGTCCACCAAGGCGCGATCATCTTGGCACAACTCTTTGTATCTCTCGTCGGGGTGGGGGGCCACAATACGACTCCAGAGCTCAAGGCAGCCAGTGCGAGCATGTCGCAAGTGCTTCAGGAGGCGGGGACGCGTGACAAAGTCAACTCCACAAGCCAGGCACTGTCCCGTCTCAGCGATTCTGCCCGCAGGGTCATCGTGCTTCTTGGTAATCTGAGCGCGCATAGCTCCCTCATGGGCACACACATACTGGCAAGTGTCGCAAACGTATTTCGTAACAGGCTCAAGGAGCGGAGCAGAATCGGGCGGCGGAATGGCGTGAGCTCTACATCTGTTGCCCAAGTCCTTTCTCCACAACTGAAGCCGGTGTTGGTCTGCTTGCCATGTTTTAAAATTGCGTGCGGCGGTCCTGCAGATTATTTTCCATCGTGCTGGGTCGGTGGCCGCCTGTAACAACAGTTCACGAGCAGAGAGAGCGCGATCTTCTTTAAGATCATAGAACTTCTGAAGCCACGCGAGATCCTCTTGTATGAGCGCACCCCATGACTTCCTACAGCGGCCTTCCATATCGAGGAGCTGCCGCAGCTGTGGCCAGGCCGAAGTCATCAGCCTGGCCAGGTACCGAAGCCGCACGAGACGCAGGATGTCAGGAACAGCGAGCCTGTTGACATCGAGCAAAACCTGCTCGTTGGCAACGTGCGGCTGGTCAGGACGTCCAAGCCGTATCCCAAGGATGGTCCTGAAAAAGGGGCAAGGTGGGCGGCGGCCATAGCTTGCTGTTGATCCCTAGACAGTTCGCCCCAGACGTGGGCGTTATCAAGCAACCTCGAAGTACAGAGAGCGTCAACATACTTGGCTCGAGTCTTGATGGGTAACCTTTTGGCCTTCAAAACCGTCCTGCGAAGGGGCCCGAGGCCCGTCTTTTGCTGGGTCCTGCGATGGGCCAACTCGGGGGCGATGCAGCCACTCTGGGCCCACATGGCGCCAAGATATTTGTAGGATCTCTGGAGGAAAATTTCGTCGACGTAGTGGGCAACATAGACAGGGTCAGCAACAGGGAAGAGATTGGCCTTAACCTTACGAGCTCCCTTTCCTCGTGGGTGGACGAGGGGCGCGGATTTGCCTTTTTTGAAGTTGATAGTCATGCCTCTCTTGACCGTGGCCTTGCTGATGGTGACAACCACGTCAGACATCGCCTGGGGGTGGTCGGCAGCACTTTGGACCACTGCCATGACGCAGAGGTCGTCAAAAAAGGTGCTGTCCGCGAGACAGTCTGTCTCAGCGTCCTGGGGCAGAGACAAGGGAGGGTCCTGCTGGCCGTCTAGCTCAAACAGGTAGTTGGCACTGCTGGTCTCCCCACGTATTTCGCCCACGTCAGGCGCAAAGAGAAGGCTGAAAACAAGGTCAGCAGGCGAGCTGCCAGTACGGCTGCCCGTGGTGGTACGCGTAACTCCTCGGGGCCCCTTGTTTTGAACCAGGTGCTGGTATGACGATCCGCCAGCATCCTTAACAGGTGAGCATTGTCGAGGCCCTCCAAAACAGAGGGTTGCGCGATGGTGTGCTCCAAAAACGGGACGAGGACCTCGGGGATATCGGCGGCATCGATAGCGTCAGCTATGTCCTTGGGGTCCTGGAGGAAAGGCATGACAATGGGTCGGATAACCTTATAGAACGCCGATTTCAAGTCGATGAAAGCAAGCACCGTAGAGAGGCCCCTAGCACAGGAGACCGCCGAGAAAGTGCGAACCATGTGGGTCGCCATATCGGTCCCTTTGCCCTGGGCCCCACCCATCTGAGTCTCGATAATGAGACCCGCAACAAGCGTTTTAAATAGATCCATCAAAAATTTGCGGCGGTGCTTGGCAACGCTATTCATAAGAAGGATTTGGCGATAGCTCTCGTGCATCGCCGCGCTGCCATTGTTCTTATACAGATCATGAGCCCGCCCACCCTTGAAGGCAAGAGGCTCCCGGGTGTGCATGCCCGCCTTTAGATGGCCGGGTGCACCAGGCGAGCAGTCTCGGTAGGTGCACAGCGCAACAGGTCATCAACAACGTCATCGGGTCTTCCAGCCTTGCCTGAGGTGGCCTGTGAGAACGAGAAACGAAGTTGGTCACGGGTCATCAGATTTTCGGCGGGGCAGTCGAGGAGGGGGGGCGATCGCGATTATCTTCGCTATACTTATCGCACAGCCCTTTTTCGGTGTACAGGGTCCCGCCTTCAACGCCAGCAAAATAAGCTTGAGCCGAATCGGCCACCTCGGCTTTCGTCTGAAGGGGGTTCCCGTCGGGGCCATTGCGGATGGGGAGGGCACCGCTTTGGAGCTTCATCCTGCGTCCTCCGAAAGCCTGGGGGTGCCTAGCAATCTGCCATTCTTTCTTGGCGTTTCCGTCCTCCATGGCCTTGCTCATCCCGCTGACCATCCACTCGAGGGTGTCAGTCTTATCGATGTCCAGTTTCTTTTTGAGCAGTCCAGCCGTGGCCGAGGGGAAACCCCTAAGAGCCCCGCCCCACGAGTCGAGGTCCAAGAGCTCCAAGAAGGCCAAAGCCGCAAGCCTGAGCTCCCACAGACAGTCCTCGAAAGAGACAAGGAGGCTTTGAGCCTCTTCACAACGCTCAAAAACAGGAGCTTGACATGCCAGAACAAGAGTGTTGGCCCAATTGTACGTAGCTTGGGCTCTTTTGTCTGGGGCAGCGCGAAGGATGGCCTTGTTCTTTCGTTTCCATTTGACGAAGTAAAGAGTGAGCTGGTCAGTGTAGGGCTTCCTCGGGTAGGCCTTCTGGATTGGGAAAGCGGTGGCAGCCGCCCAAAGAATCTGTTCCTGGACCTGGTTGTAATGTTTGTTGATGTCAGTCGACCATGGCATCAGGGGGATGGTACTCAAAAGCGATTTGAAAATCGCAACTCTGTGATGATCCTTGGTAAGCTTGCGGTTATATCTTGGCCTGCTAACCTCGATTCGGCTGCTGTGGTCTGGTCTGTCGTGGATTGCCCACGCCATTCCCAGCGCAGTCGGGAGATGATCACTAACATCCATCAAATCATCGAGATCACTCCACACTTGCTCGAACACGATGGCAGGCACAAAGTGAGGTTTGACGAGGACATAGTCAATCCTGTGATATGCGCCATTCTTCACAAAGGCGAAACCGCTGGGCTCAGTGTCCCTGCTCCAGTTGGGGTCAGAGAATGTGGAGGGGGCGCCAAGCCCAAGTTCACACATGAACTGTTGAAAGCAGGTGCCCGAGACATTCTCTTCCTCCATCCATCTTCCATTCCCCACAGCAGTGGACGAAATGCTGCCAACCCTCGCGTTAGCGTCGACCGACGCGACGTCGACTGACATCCGTTGGACAATCGCGGCAGTCTCCTCCCACCACCTCTGAAGAGCGCCAGTGTCGATGGTCCTGCTCTGCGCGTCCTGATAGGGAGCGTGCAGGACCATGAAATTGAAATGAAGTCCTGGCGCGCGGACTTGCACTACAATCCTGCGGATATCCTTATGCGTGACAAGAAAGTGGCTTTTCTGGAAGTACCTTGGGTGGCCCCGGTGAGTCAAATACGGGAGGGTCAACGAAAAGCAGGCTTCAACCCCAATGTTTTTCCCGTCACCTCCAGAGGCGAGGATGTAGTAACCATCGGCGGTCCTGGTCCCTTCTGGGGTCCGAGCTTCTTGGATTCCAAGGACCTGAATGCCCTGTTCGTGAAACTGCTGTCTAACCAGTTTGGCATTGTGTCGACGATGCTGTCTCTTGGCATCCTCGAGCATGGACATCGCATTGCATGTCGCGACATTGAGGGTGAGATCACCAACCATTTCCTTGGGGGGGTCAGGCCCGCCTTCAAACCCAACAGGCAAATAGTGATGTGGGTATCCCGTCGCATAAGTGCGCGCGGGGGTGTTGAAACAGAACTGTCCATCATGTTCGGTGATCTCGGGATACGCGCTGCGATCGGCTTCCAGCTCGGTAACCCATGACCAGGGATCTCCCACCGCAGGGGTCAAGAGCTTCGCCCAGTCAGGGTCACGAACTTCGGAGTCCGTTCGCCTACGTTTAGAGAGACCATCGACTAACTCGTTCCAGGGATGGGCCTTGTGGGACGGGGCATGGCGGAACGTGAGGTCATACCTCGCCCGCAGGTCAACGACCAGGTGGCGCAACATGGCGCCAAACCCGGGATGGGCAGAGGACTGAGCAGATCCTTCGGCAATCTGAATCGCAGAAACGGAGTCAGACTCGAGAACAAAACCCTCAGCCTCGCGCTGTCCGAGAAGCCCGATCCAAAGCAAAGCCCAAAGGATTCCCCCCATCTCTGGGGTAGTGTTGCTGAAACGTGTGGTATCTAAGAAAACGCCGACGGATGAGAGAACCTTTCCTGTCCTAGCCCCCAGAAAGGAAAAGGCTCCTGCTCTGTCCTTGGCCACCACGGCCATCGCCCAGGCCGCGGAGGTGGGGTCCTGTTCGTCGAAGGACCCGTCGACGAAGATTGAAATCTGGCCGGCGACGTGCTCGCTAGTCGGGCACATGTCCAGGCCAAGCTGCGCGTGGGCGTGCAGGCCCACTCTGTTGACATCTAAATCAAGGTCTATCTGGCACCCTTCCTGTTGAAGGCGTGTGAGCAGTCCTATCTGTCCCGAATTACATCTGATCGAGTCGGTAGGATCATCGCCCACGATCGCGACCTCGATCGGAATCCGACTGTCGAGGTCCAGGACCTGCGGGCCAGTGTGGACTCCAGCCCCCGAACGCCCAAGAGTTCCTGGGGTCAGCACCTCCGAACTGCCCAACCCAGCATCGGGAGGAGAGGAGGAGTCGGACGAGGGATCGTAGAAGTGAAAAGGCACAGTCGTGGCGAAAGCCACCTTGGATCTGGGCTTATCGAATTCGGCGCGGCCGCGCTGGGGTGGCGGTGTTTGCTCGCTAGAGCCTACATGCATGCTGCTGGGTGCCGGGCTCTCCCCATCCGACACCCTCTCATGGCCGTGTAGGCTCAGTACTCGCTCTCCGCGTAGGGACCCATCTGGGCGGCATCGCTGCTCGGCACTCTGTGATCCTCTGCTGTCTTGGCGACCGTCTCGATGTCCGACCGTCTCTGAGGCTTGCGGAAAGCTGCCATGGCCGTCCTCGACTTGCCCTTGTCGTTGGCAGGGCGCCTGGGGGATCCTGGCGCTCTCGTTCTCTGGGTGCGGATGCTTGGACTCCTCGATGCTGAAGTCCTTTGACTGCTGCGCTGCCGTGGCCCTAAGGAGAACTGTCCGCCCTCCGAGCCGCTCTCGATGGCCGCGGCCCTCTCCTCCACCGTGATCCATCCCGCGGGCGTGTCCTGAGCCGTGGTCTCCATCAACGGGATCGGGGTACAAGGCTGTGTCGGCGTCAGTGATGGTGGTGATCTGGGAGCCGCGGTCGGTGGAGTAGGAGGCTGGTGCGTCGATGGCGCTGGTTGATGTCCAGTAGCCGTCGCCACCGTCGCTGATGACCGTCTCGCGTCTCGCGTCATCATGGCCTCCATCATCTGCTGCATCTGCATCATCTGGTCCGCCATGGGCTTCAGCTGAGCTTCGACCTGCATCTGGACTGCCTGCTGGATGCTGGCGCTGGACGGTGCCGTGCCTGTAGTGGACGCAGCTGGTGTCGATGCTGGTGTTGAGGTCGCGCATGGAGGGGACTCCTCTATCGGGCGCTCGGGGAAGACCACCACGCCCTGGCACGGCTTGTCCTCGTCCATGTCCGTGCTGCTCTCCATCTCCTTCTGCTGCTTCTCCGCCTCCATGAGCTGGTGTATCTCCATCTTGGTGCGCCTCAGCGCGTCCAGCTGGTCCTGGAGGTTGTCTCTGACGTTGATCTTCGCCTGGAGGTGGTCCTTGAGCGATGCGACTTCTTTGTTGGCTGCTTCGACGCGCAGCATCATCCTGGCAATGGTAGTCTCTGTCCAGGCGCTCTGCTGATGTAAACTCTTCTCCGATATCAACATTCGTCTCAATATGGAAATAGATGTGGCCAGCTCCTGCACTGGCTCTCTCATGGCCCAGGCTCAGTTGTACCTCTGCTGGAGCAGGTTCAGCCTGGAGCGAATCTCTCTGTAGTACTCTTTCTTCTCCGACTCCGTGGCACGTGAACTCAAAGGACGATAGTCTGGATGAGCCTGTGCTTCTGTTGGAGTCGCCATTCGTACGTATGGGGCACCGTTGGGCTTCGTCTCGTCTTCCCATGGGCGTGATTCCGATGTCGATCTCTGGCTCTTCTGGCTCTTGGATCTCTGGCGGCCCTTGTGGTTGTTGGTGCCGTTCTCTTTCTTGGAAGATTTCCAATGACCGTTGCACTTGACGCAGTTCACCGAGGTATTCCAGTTCTGCTGCCCGCATCTGCATTGCCATGCGCACGTCCATGGCGCCATCAACGGAACCTTCTGACTGGGGCTCCGCAGCGGGAGCAGAAAGAATGAGGAATGCGGTGAGCCTGGCAAAGAACTTGGCCAGGGCGGTCGTGATGCCTAGGAGCGCCCTGCTCCAAATCTCTGGGCCGTGCTACGGACGGGCCCAGACCTAATCGCTGATTCTCGGGCGTCTATAGCCCTTCACAACGTTTAAGTCTTGAGCCAAAATGGCTACGGTTTTTTTTCCTCCTCCTCCTCCTCCTCCTCCTCCTCCCTTCTTCTCCCGCTCACGTGCCTCCGCTTGGGGCGCTGGGGCCAGTGCTACCCGGCCATGACCACCGCCGGGTCCTTGCATCGCCCTGCTCCCTCACAGGGGCTTGTGATCTGGCAGGTCCGCTGCCAGACCCGCCCTACCATGCACACCGCGTGGCAGCCTCGGACCAGCGATAAACGCGCACGCCTCCTCGGCAGCCTGGCTCCCGTCGCCCTCGCGATGGCCCGCGGGCAGCGCGCCCGCGCCGGCGTCGTCCTCGCGGTCGCCGTGCACCTCTGTCTGCAGCTCGTCTTCGATCGCCTTCGCAGCCGCCAGCGCCACCGCCACGGCCAGTAGGCCCCTACTGACTTCATGCTTACTGGGCGGGTCACGCACGCGTGAGGGTGATTCGGTTGGCCTGCGCCGCATCCGCTGACCCCATTCGTATCTCCTCGCCAGAGGGCCCCCAGGCACGGGCGATGGCTTCGGCGTCGGGGGAGTCAGGGTTGGCTTGCGTGCCGAAGAGCTGATGCCGCTGGCCTCTTCGTGGCTCCACTGGCGTGCGCATCAGGAGCGAGGGCCCTCGCCACGCACGGCTTCGAGGAGAGCCTGCGGGCGCGATTGCCGAGCCGAACCCCTTGCGCTCCTTGGGACATTTGGGGGGGGGCCGCGGAGGGCGCATAATTTCACCGTGCCATGGCACAGGATGGCCCCAATCTGGCACAGTCGTGGTGAATGATGTGCGCGGCGTAGGGTCCTTCCCAACGTTTTTCCCAACCATCCTGTGGTGTTGGGTCCTCGTTTTGAACAGACGGCGCCCCGCGTTCTCCTCCTCCTCGTCTCCTCCTCCTCCTCGTTCTCCTCCTCCTCCTTCCGCCTCCTTCCTCCCCCCCACCCCTCCTCCCCCTCCTCCTTCACCCCTGCGTTTCACCAACCCAGGACAACGCTTCGTGGCACCATAGGGAGCTCGAAGGTCCCAGTGGGACCGCCCGCATGCGCCAACCACCACCCAGCACAGCGCTTCGTGGCCCCGTCGGGGGCTCCACAGAAGGCCCCAGTGGCACCGCCCGCATGCGTCAACGCCACCCAGTACAGCGCTTCGTGGCCCCAGGGGAAGCTCCACCGACGGCCCCAGTGGGACCGCCCGCATGCGTCAACGCCACCCAGTTCAGCGCTTCGTGGCCACATTAGGGGCTCCATTAAGGGCCTCAGTGGCACCGCCCGCATGCGTCAACGTCACCCAGGACAGCGTTTCGTGGCCGCGTAGGGGGCTCCACCGAAGGCCCCAGTGGCACCGCCCGCATGCGTCAACGCCACCCAGGGCAGCGTTTCGTGGCCCCATAAGAGGCTCCATTGAAGGCCTCACTGGCACCGCCCGCATGCGTCAACGCCACCCAGGGCAGCGCTTCGTGATCCCATAAGAGGCTCCATTGAAGGCCTCACTGGTACCGCCCGCATGCGCCAACGCTACCCAGGGCAGCGCTTCGTGGCCCCATAGGGGTCTCCACCGAAGGCCCCAGTGGCACCGCCCGCATGCCTCAACGCCACCCAGGACAGCGTTTCGTGGCCCCATACGGAGTGCCGCAACGGGGCGGGGAGACGCTTGAATTGGGCGGGGAGGGAGATTGATGTGGATCATCCGACTGTTGCCTTCGGTGTAGCTCCCTATGGGGCCACAGAACGTGCGAGTGATGTGCCGAAGTGAGGCGGGCAGACGCACGTGGACCTTCCCACTGTGGCCTGTGGTGGAGCTCCCTATGGGGCCCCGGAACGTGCGAGGGCGGTGCCGAAATGGGGTCGGGAGACGCATGTGGACCCTCCCACTACGGCCTTCGGTGGAGCTCCCTATGGGGCCACAAAACGTGCGAGGGGTGTGCCGAGATGAGGCGGGGAGGCGCATGTGGACCCTGCCACTCGGGACTTCGGTGGAGCTCCCCGTGGGGCCACGGACATGATGTGGACACTGCCATGGGGGACCTCGGTGGAGCTATCCATGGGGCCACGAAGCGTGTGATGTGCGGACATGGTTGGGGGAGACGCATGTGGACCCTCCCACTGGGGCCTGCGGTTGTTCTCCCCGATGGAAGCGCGAAGCGTGAGGGGTGTGTCGATAAGGGGGCGGGGAGGCGCATGTGGCCCTCCCACTGGGGCCGTCGGTGGTGCTCCCCGTGGGGTCACGAAGCGTGTGAGGGGTTCGCCGAACTGGAGCGGGGAGACGCATGTGTACGCTCCTACTGGGGCCTTCGGTGGAGCTCCCTATGGGTGCACGAAGCGTGTGAGGGGTGTGCCGAAATTAGGCGGGGAGACTCTGTGGACCCTGCCACTCTGGCCTTCGGAGGAGCTCCTTCTGAGGCCACGAAACGTGTGCGGGGTGTCCCTAGCTGGTAGACTGATGCTGAGAGAAGAGGAAGTTAGGAGGGGATGAGGGGCAGGAGGTGAGGATCGGAGAGGAGACGCGGGGACTGTTTCTTCAAAGCGAGGACCCACCACCACAGGATGGCTGGGGAAGAGAACGAAGCGGATGCTTCTCCCCGGTTTCTGCTTCTGGGGGGCCCTCGCCGGGCCCAGGGATCGTCCCTCCTCCTCCTCCTCCTCCTCCTCCTCCTCCTCCTCCTCTTCCTCGTCCTCCTCCTTGGGCGAAGGACCCAACCATATGCAGTTGTGTGAGTAGCGCCGTGGTGGGTGCCGCTCTCGGTGCTGCTCCTTCTTCTGGGGGGCCACGGCACGCGGGGGGGCGTGCCGTAGAAGTCGGGCGGGGAGGAGGCGCGCAAGTGTGTGCCCTGCCGCCGGGGGCTTCGGTGGAGAGCTGCCGTCGGGAGCCTCGAGACGGGGGGGTCAGTGCAAACGGGGGGGGGGTCAGCCAGAGCGCCCCGACCTTGCAGGATCCTGGGCCAGGGTCGCATTGACCCGGGTTTGGGTGCAGGATGCTGCAGGGTACTTCGCATTGACCCGGGTTTGTGTGCAGGATGTTGCAGGATTTTGCAGGACTCTGCAAGGCCTGACTGACCCGGGTCTCGATTGACCCGGGTCAGCAGGTCCCCGATGCCTATGGGGCCACGAAGCGTGTGAGGGGTGTGCCGAAATGTAATCGTTTCTGATTCCTTGTTTTGCCGATCGGCCCGGGCCCTCGCACCCCCCCTTCCCCCCCCCCCTGGAGTGGATCGTGGCTGTTTTTGGCGCCTGTTTCGAGCAGGTGGAGTCCCTCCCCCATCGGACACACTGTCGCAAAGAGCCGCACTACGTAGAGGGCCGGAGCCAGACAAACGCCGAACAAAAAAAGCTCACAATGGGCGGGGGGACGCAGGGCTCATCTCGACTCCTCCGATTCGATCCGATTCGAGTTCGATGGCTCCCGATTCCGATACGATCCGATTTCGGAGTTTTCGATTTGGGCTTTGATTTCTCACTGGAGGCACACCAGCCTGCCGATTTCCGCCGATTCGACGTCTCCCGACTCCACTGCCGATTTCCGCCGATCCGATTCATTTCGATCGCCGATCCGACTTATCGATTCGATTCTGGGCTCTATTGCGAAACGCGTGAGGGGTGTGCCGAAATGGGCGGGGGGGACGCGCGCGGCCAAGGTCACGGGGGCCTTCGGTGGAGCTCCCCACATGGCCACGAAGCGCCATGCTGGTTGCGCTACCGCGACCTTCGGTGCCTCTCCAAATGGGGCCACGAAGCGCTGTACTGGGTCCACGCATGCGGGCTGCGCCACTGGGACCTTCGGCGGATCCTCCTGTGAGGCCGCGAAGCGCTGCACTGGGTGGGGAGGTGCCTGCGGGCTGCGCCATTGGGACCTCGGGGGTGGAGCTCCCCATGAGGGCACGAGACATTGTACTGGGTGGGGGAGACGCATGCGTGCTACGCCACTGGGATGTTTCCCCATGGCGCAGCAAGGCGCGCAGCGCGCCTCGAGCTCCTCCTGCGGCCGTCTTGGCCCGGCGCTGGAGGGTGGCAAACGGCCCCCGCCCCGACGGACTGCCCGAGACAGACTCGCGAGACGCCTGCACGCGAAAGTGCTCAGAGAGAGAGAGAGAGAGAGAGACAGAGACAGAGAGAAAGAAAGACACAAAACAAAAACGAAAGAGAGAGAGAGAGAGACGAGCCTCACGCACAGGCGTCCGCTCAGGAGAGCGGCTTCCGCTTCTGGCGCCCCCCCCTCGTGATCATGTTGGCCTTGCCCGCAGACGTGTTGGCTCAAGTCACTGAGTCATAATTTTGGCGAAGCACCCTGTGCTGCACGTCAGGATCCCCCCACCTCTAGGCCGGCAGGGATGGCGAGCCTCGCGGGCGACGATCTTCCCTACCAGCACCGGCCAAGGCCAGCGCTGGCGTGGGCGGAGGCCTCCAGCGCGGCGGCGCCCGCACCGAGGCAGCCCTCGACTCCCAGGATGGCCCGCGGGCGCCCCCGCAGCGTCGCCCACGGGGGGGCCGTGCCAGGCCCCGGCGTCCTCGGCCCCGACGGGATCCGCAGGATCCGCAGGCCCTGCGGGCTCCGGCTTCCTGAGATTGCGGCCTCTTGGCCCCTCAGCGACCTGTCCGAGATGAGGAGGCTCGTCACCGGCCGAGAGACCTGCCCCGAGCCTCGCCCGGTCAACGGGACGTCGGTCCGGCGTGTCGCCCAGGCCTTCAGGGTCCCCATGCTGCCCGGAGTGGAGCCGGCCAGTGGCGCAGCCATGAGCGACCAGTCGAGCGACACAGAGTCGGAGAGCATCTCCCGCAGGCCAACCGGCCCCGACGAGCGCCAGAGGGTCCCGTGCTGCGCGGGCCCGAGCCAGTGCGGCGGCGAGTCGGCCGGGCCCACGCGCGCGGGACGTCAGCATCGAGGCTGGCCCCTCTCGACGCTGACAGCCGCGACGACCACCACATCTCTTCCCCCCTTCGAGGAGGCGCCCTCCCAGGCCCGCCCCCGCCGCGCGGGGAGGTCGCTGTCGGCGAGGGGAGGCAGGCGCCCGCGCTCCGCGAGCGGCTGAGCCTCGGCTTCCTGGGCAGCTGGGCGGCGCGCGGAGAGGCCGCGCGCCGCGCCGCAGGCTGCTGGCTGCTGGGGCAGTGCGCGCTAGCATCAAAAGCTCTCTCCCGCTCCATCTCGGCCGGACTCGCTCTCGAGAGAGGTCTCCTTACTAAGTACGCGGTTTGGGGGGGTGCCGCGTGCGTAACCCCTCGGTTTGTACAGGGTGGTGCGTCGGTGCAAGCGCCGACCTAGAAACGCACATATGGGATGGCATTCGGCGCGCGACCTTGTTTAAGGGAGCGCTGCTGTCACAGGCCGCAACAACGCTCTACAAGTTACAATTCCCCTTCTTCCCCAGTTCCTCCCGCCTGGTATGATGATGAGGGGGGAAGGAGGAGGGAGTAGGAATGACGGAGAAAGGGAAGGCAGGATGCATAACTAACTAAAGGTCAGGAGATTTAGTATGATCAGTATG